AAAAATTTCCTTATTTTTAATGGCTGAGTAGTATTCCATTGTGCACATATACCACACTTTGCTTATCCACTCATGTGTAAATGGACATTTACGGTGACACCATATCCTGGCTACTGTGATGAACATGGGAGGGCAGGTGTCCCTTCAACATGATGATTTCCCTTCCTCTGGATATATACCCAGCAGTGGGTTTGCTGGATCATGTTGTAGTGATATCTGTAGTTGTCTGAGGAATCTCCATAATGTTTTCCATAATGGCTGTGCTAACTTACAGTCCCAACAACAGTTTAGGAGAATTCCCCTTTCCCTGCATCCTCACCTCACCCGTGTTTGCTTTTCTTGGTCTTGTTGATAACGGCCAGAATAACTTGGGTGGGATTGTATCTCAATCTGGTTTTGATTTGCATTTATCAGATGACTAGTGATGTTGAACATTTTTTCATGTACCTGTTGGCCATTTGTATACCTTCCTTTGAAAAATATTTATTAATTTCACTTGCTAATTTTTTAATTAGATGATGATGATGACGATGATGATGATGATGATTGCAATTATTATTATTTTTATTTATGTACTTATTTTAATATAATATATATTATCGTATTTAAATATAATTTATGTTTAATGTAATATATATTATCGTATTTAAATATAATATATATTTTAATATATACAAATTTGTATATTCTGGATATTATTGCCCTGTTGGGTGTATCATTTACAAATATTTTCTCCCATTCAAGAGGTTGTCTTTTCACTCTTTGGATTATTTACTTTTCTGTGCAGAAGAAGTTTAGTTTGATATAATACCATTTACTTAATTTTTCTTTTGTTGCTTGTGCTTTGGGGGGTCGGATTCATAAACTCCTTGACCAGTCCTATTACCTGGACTGTTTCCCCTATATTTTCCCTTAGTAATTTTATGGTTTCAGGTTTTATATTTAAGATTAATCCATTTTGTATTGGTTTGGTATATGGAAAGAGGTACAGGTCCAATTTCATTTTGCTGCATATGGAAATGTCCATGCTTCCCCCCAAAATCTACAGATTCAATATAATTCCCATCAAAGTATCAATGGGATTCTTCACAGAAATACAAAAAGCAACCCAAACATTCATATGGAGTAACAAATGACACCAGATATCCAAAGCAATCCTAAAAAAAAAAAAACCCATAAAGCTGGAGGCATAACACTACCTGACTACAAATTATAGTGCAAAGCTATTGCAACCAAAATGGTGTTGTACTGGCATAAAGAGAGACACTCAGATCAGTGGAACAGAAGAGAAAACCCAGGAATCAACCACATACTTACAGCCAACTGATCTTTGCCAAGTGCAGCAAGAAAATAAATTGGGGAAAAGACTGATTCTTCAATATATGGTGCTGGGAAATTGGACACTCACTGTGTCTCCTGCACAGTCATTCATGGCTGTGTCCTCAGCGGTCACGGAGCTCAGCTGCAGCGAGAACTGGTACTCGGCCCCTCAGCAGTGGTGGAGATGTGGCCCTGAGTCAAGGGGCCACAGTTTGTCCTACATGATGATCCGCTGTAGTGACTATATCCAAGCCATTGAAGCCCCTTCCCCAAAGGCTTGCAGGTCCAGCTCCAACCATACCCACTGGAGATGGAGTAACCAGAGATGGTGCAGGTGAGGGAGAGGGTCTGCGAGGGCTTCACCAGTCCTGGGCCTGACTCCTGTGGCAGCACCTGGGTCAGGACACCTGGAAAAAGAGGGAAAATCCCCATGAGTCCCACGCACAGCACACTGGTCCTATCACATTTCTGAAACCCTTGATGTTCACACTGGGGAGTTGTCAGCAGACAAAGGAAAAAGGGTAAAATGTTCATCTTCTTGAGAGACAGAATAATGTCTTTCACAGAGAAACTACACAGGATGATGAGAGATTGAGGGAGAAATCTGACAAGCCCCAGCATTGTCACCCTGATATAAGCAAAGCTCGGGGGAAGTTCGCATGTGCCCGGAGCCCTCAACACACAAGAATGAGGAAGTGCAGTGACCCTGTGCATCCAAGCCGCTTCCCAGAGCTGGTCCCAGGCACCAGAGGATGCACACAGTCCTCATCTAAATCTCCTGCATGCCCCTGAGCATGCAGGGCTGTCATCGCTGAACATGCAGATTGTCAACCCTGAGCATGCAGGGCTGTCATCCCCGAGCATGCAGCTGTCATCCCTGACCATGCATGCTATTATTCCCATGCATGCAGCTGTCATCCCCGAGCATGCAGGGCTGTCATCCCTGAGCATGCATGCTGTCATCCCCGAGCATGCAGCTGTCATCCCTGAGCATGCATGCTGTCATCCCTGAGCATGCATGCTGTCATCCCTGAGCATGCATGCTGTCATCCCTGAGCATGCAGCTGTCATCCCCGAGCATGCAGCTGTCATCCCCGAGCATGCATGCTGTCATCCCTGAGCATACAGCTGTCATCCATGAGCATGCAGCTGTCATCCCTGAGCATGCAGCTGTCTTCCATGAGCATGCAGGCTGTCACCCCTGAGCATGCAGGCTGTCATACCTGAGCATGTAGCTGTCATCCCTGAGCATGCAGCTGTCATCACAACCTTGAGGCAGGGACACAGATCAGATAAACACATGGCTTGGTGGTTGCAGAAGACAGAAGAGCGGGAGGGGCTAAGTAATGCTTGTGCCCAAGTGCATGGGCTGGAGACATCCCACTGCTCTTGTATCCACCTGAGGACACTCCATCATAATGTGCCTGGTAGTCACTCTTCACTGGGTGGGAGGCTTGGGGAAAACTGAAGGGTGTCCCCCCTTTTTGACAACAGGCGTCACAGCCTTTGAGACCTTGTCCACCACAGACCTGTTGAGGCAGCCCTGATATCCCCTTCCCCATCAACCCCCACCATTTGATTCTTTTCTCATATTCTTTTCCATTTTATAATTTCTCTTCCTGCACCTCCATGGTAGATTTGAATAACAATACCGCTCTTGCTCACAACGATTTATATACTGTGATTTACTTCCTTTGATTTATCATCCCTTAATAGGAAAAGGAAATATGTTAAGGTTAAAACAGATATTTTCAGTCATACTCAGTGTCCTGCTGTGCTTTCAGCAGGTTTAGTTTACCTTTCCCAGCACAGTACAAACACACGCACGCATACACACACACACACACACACACACACACACACACACACAGAGAGAGTCTTTGAAGCACAGATCAGTCAGGATCCCTGTGCACACCTCTCAGGATGCAGCCTGGACCCTATTAATAGGAAAAAGAAATACTTTAAGGTTAAAACAGTCATTTTCAGTCATACTCAGTGTCCTGCCGTGCTTTCAGCAGGTGTAAGTTCACCTTTCCCAACACGGTACAAACACACGCACACACACACACACACACACACTCATGCACACGCATGCACGCACACACATTCACACACAGGGTCTTTGAAGCACAGATCAGGCATGATCCCTGTGCACACTTCTCAGGAGGCAGCCTGTACCCTAGACTGTGTTCTGCACCCCCATTCATTCTCAGAGTCTGTTTTGTGAATCCCCTTTAGCTGCACCTGCAGATCAGGAGGTGAGCCAGGTCTCCACACAGGTGTGGCAGTCTCCTCCCACCTGTTCCTTTCCCTGCTGCTCCCTCTTTTCTGTTCTTCCTGGGTGTTTCTCTTCCTGTCTTTATTCCATAAAGGCAGACTTTTCACTGTTATTGCTGCTTGAATGCAGCAGGGATGGAGCATTCCAGAGAGTCTCACACCATCAGAAGATGGCTGGGGAGGAAAGGGGGCCACCTGGGTTTTATCATGTATTGTGTCGTGTGGGCAGAACTAAAGCATCTCTGACCACAGGGACTTCAGCCGTCATGGTTCTGTCCACAATATGATTTATAACGAGATCTTACCACGCATCAATGAAAGGATTAAATCTCAATTTAAAATGGGCAACTGATAGAATGCACATTTCTTGAAATAAGATAAATAGCTGAAGAGCAAATTAAGAGATTATCAACCTCATTAGTTATCAGGGAAATGCAAATATAAACGCATAGGTTTACCTCAGAGGAACTAACATGGTTGTATGTTTTTAAAGGAAACGTTGTCCCCATGGACGTGTACACACTGGAAAGCTCCCATAGCGTTGGGGTTTAGGGAAAAGCTCAAGTGCTGCTGTGGTAATGATTTGGGCAGTTACATAAAAGGTTAAATGCAGGACAACACTATGACCCAGTAACTCTACTCCTAGGTATTGGCCGAGGAGAGATGAAAAGAGGTGTCCAAACACAAATGTGCACAAATCTTCACAGCAGCTCTATTCATGGGGGCCAAAAAGTGAACAACTCAAATGTTCATTGATGGATGAACTGATAAAGAGATGTGGCAAATTGATACAATTGGAAACTATTCACCTACCAAAAATGAAGTTATTTACACATGCTACAAAATGAAAGAACTTTAAACATATTACACCACACAAAAGAAGCACACACAAAAGGACACATGTTACATAATCCCATTCATATAACATATCGAGAATAGGCATGTCCATAGATACAGAAAACACATTAGTGGTTTTGAGGGGCTTGAAGAGGGTGGGATGAGCAGTGACTGCTTGTAGGGGGTGGGGTTTGCTTTTCAGGTGATGAAAATGTTCTGTAACTACACAGTGGTGACAGCTGACAAACCTTGTGAAAATATTAAGTGCCACTAAACAGTATCAAATGGTTAAAATGGTGAACATGATGTCATGTAAATTTTAGCATCATACCAAAAAAAAGCACATTAAACTTAATTTTTGTTTTACATTAATCATTTTAAGGTAAGAGAAACCACATTTTAAGGGAACACACAAAGCAAATAAAGGAAAACAAAAACAAAAACAAGAGTTCCTGAGTATGACTTTTACTGAACAGAGACAGGAAACACCAAGGACTGAAAGGAAACCCTGGGTGTCCTGTGCACCTGCTCCTGAGTGGAAATTCTCTATGTCGTGTGTTCTGGGTTCACTCAACCACCGAGTCCCCTCCTGTCTTCCTGTGAAGAGGTTTGTGTCTGGGCTCACGGTGACTTCCCCTCACTGTGTCTCTCGCACAGTAATAAACGGCCGTGTCCTCGACTATCAGGCTGTTCAATGTTAAATAAGCTTGGCTCTTGGAGGTGTCCCTGGTGATGCTGACTCGGGATTTAAGATCTGTATTATAATCTGTGCCTCCACCACTCCATATCGCACCGACCCACTCCAGCCCCTTTCCTGGACGCTGGCGGATCCAGTTCACACCATAGCTGGTTAAAGAGAATCCAGAGACAGAGCAGGTCAGAGACAGGGTCTGTGAGGGTTTCACCAGGCCAGGACCCGACTCCTGCAGTTGCACCTGGGACAGGACACCTGGGGACAAGAAGCATCACCGTCAGTCAAACACACATGAAACCACCGCTTCCCAGGTTCCATTTCCTGAAGTCCCCAAAACACTCACAGCAGGGAGCGGCCACCAGGCAGAGGAGCAGCCCCAGGACATCCATGCTCTGATGAAGGGCTCCTGGTGGAAGGAGACTGGGGCTGCTCAGCCCAGGGCTGGCCTTTCAGCCTGACACTGGGGTCTGCTTTGCATGAGGAGGTGCCTGAGGATATAAGTGTGGGAGCAGAGGGGACGGTCTCTGTCTGTCCGTCTCTGGGGCAGAGTGTTTTACCTTGTGCTGCTGAGAGGAACTGGGGAGACAGAACCTCAGAGACACTTCTGTGCATCACTGCCTGGTCTTCCTGTTTCCAGACAAATATGAAGAGAAGTGGAGATGGAAGGTGGAGGGTTCGACAGCACAGAACATAAAGAAATGTTTAAATTAAAGAGATTCTAGGTTCAAGGAGAAGTCCATGACCCTTTCATCCTCATGTGCCTCGTTCACCATGTCTCTTGTTTGATGCTGTGTCTCAGCTGGTGGCCTCAGTCTCTCTGCGCACAAACCTGTTATGTGTGACTTCAAGTGAGACAGTTGGAATATTTTTGACTCTTTTAGTTGACTCTTTCCAGAAAATTTAGACTTTCCTATGACACTCAGATGTGAGTGTGTGTGTGTGTGTGTATAAACATATACATACCCATGTACATATATATGCATGTATTTATTGAGAGAGAAAGAAAGTCCCCTACCGCTTCCTGTTCCTGAGACAAGTCACTAAGACAAATGCATAGAAAACATGCCCCCCCCCCACCCACTATAAGACAAAGTCATGCGGGACTAGAACTATCGCTGTGGATATTTCTAGAGATTCCATCTTCCTCAATCTCATTTAGAAATCCTCTGTTCACACTTCTGCCCCAACACTTCCAATGTCAGCCTTGACTGTCACATCAGACTCAGTCTTGAGGTTCGTGATCTCGTCACTTGCTTCAGGTCACAGGTGACTCTTGGTGTTTTCTCAAGTGCAGCTCCTCCGGCATCTGCAGACCTGTGAGATGGACACTCTGTGCCCTGCCTCCCCTTTACCCAATGTACTGTGATGAGTCACATCCAGGATGACCACTGTAGACCACCCTGTTCAAAGAGTAATTCCAGGCACCTGGGAGTCACTGGATCACAGCAACTCTGAACATTAGTTGGGCACGACGTACCACTGTCTGGTGCTGGTCCATTTCTTGTTTTGGGGAATGACACTGCGTGACTCACAGAATCACTATTTGGGCTTCTAGTCCCACCCTGTTAGGAACATTTCCTTTCTCAATTTGAAATTGGCATTTTCAGGTGATTACTTCTTTTAGGCTTTTTTATTAAAATAAGCTAGGAGAAATTACAGGTTGTGTAATTGTATTAAAGCATATGTAAAAAATATTCCCCTGTGACAGTCCAGGACATGCAGTGAGTGATCTTAGCTATCCACACCAGAAACAATGACTTTGAAATGGAGAAGAGGTACTAATGAAAATCAAGGACTGTGCATCTGTGTAAATCAGCAGATTCCAAATAAGAAAATGCCACAGTCACAGGAGTACCTGACTTGTTTTCTCAGAGTCTGGGGTTCAGGGACATGTATACTTAGATAGGAAGGTGGAGTACGTCTACAGGCATAGATTTGCTCAGTGAAAAGGAAAATGCACACCCCTACGTAAAATAAAATAAAATAAAATAAAATAAAAAACAAAAAACATTCTCACTCCCAGACTTGCTCTGCACCTGCCCATGGAGCTGGGCCCTGGGGGCAGCGGGTCCTGAGTTTCCCACTCAACCAGTGCTGTGTCACCTTCTACAGCTCTTGCTGCTTTTGACAGACCAAAGTTATAGAGATTTTCCTCTTTGTTTTTTTCCTAATAGTTTCATAGTTTCAGGACTCAAATGTAGTTATTCCATTTTGAGTTACTTTTTGTATGAGGGTGCAATTTCATTAATCTTCATTTGAATAACCAATTTTCCCAACAAAATTTTTTGAAGAAACTGTGCTCTTTGCATTGAGGGCTCTTGGCACTTTTGTTAAAAATCAGATAAACGTAAATTTTTAGTTTAATTTCTGGGCTTTCTGCTCTATCTGCTCTACGTATTTTTGTATGTCATCACAATGCTGTTTCAATTATTTTAGATTTATAATATATTCTTAACCAATATTAAGTAGCATTTATCTCTGGGATGCAAGGAAGGCTCAAAAGAAGCAAGTAAAGAAATATGATAAATAAAATTATGGAATGAAGGAGAAAATCATATGATCATTTCAACAGAGATAGAAAAAGCATTTGACGTATTTCAACATCATTTTATTAACAAAAAAATCAACAAATTTGTTATAGTAATAATATCCTTCACTACATAAAAAGTCATATATGATAATTCCACAGCTAATAACAAGCTTAACATTGAAAGTTTATGTTTGTTATGTGTGATCAGAACAAGACAATAACACTCTCTCTCACCACTTCCATTAAACATAAAACTGGAAATTCTAGTCAGAGCATTGAGGTAATAAAAAAAATATAAATGACATCCACTTATGAAAGAGAATATAAATTGTTTTTGTTTCCTGATAAAATGATTTATTATATTAAAACCCTAAAGACTCCACCTATGAACTGTGACAACTAATAGAAGCACTAGCAATGAACTATCTAAAGATTAAATCTGTAAAACAATCGCATTTAAAATGGAATCAGAAAAAAAATTCTTGGGAACATATTTAACAAAATTAATAACAGATTTGTATATTGAAAACTCTAAAGGATTGATAAGATCATGGAAGTATTAATGGAAGAGAGTTTTTCAAAATTGATGGCAGACATAAAAATGCAGATGAAGGGAGTCCACAGAGCACCAACACCATAAATAAAAGCAACAGAAATGAAGTGCACACACACACACACGCACACACACATGCATACACATGCACACACATGCACACATGTGCACACGCACACACACAAACATGCACACACATACATGGACACACACCCATGACCAAGATATTAAATTTTATCACATTAAAACTGCAGAAAATATCTAAAGTGGTTGTGTTTAGAAATGCTTACACATAAAAGAAGAATCATAAGCATTTCAGAAGACTTCTTGTCAGAATCAATGCAAACAAAAATCGAGAAGTTTTAAATATTTAAAGTGTTGGAACCTGCAACCACCAACACCCACGATTCCTGATTGAGGTAAATAATCCCTCAAAAGTTAAGGAGAACAACATCTCCTCATACCCTCCTTCTCCCAAGAATTGATCAATATTTGATAGTCATAGACTAGCACAGAAATTATAGCCAATGACAGAATGTAACTTTCAAAATAGCAAAGGGAGTAAATTTTGAATGTCTCATGTTGGCAAAATATAGGAAGATTGTCAGGGCCCCTTAGATGTTCAGAATCTTGCCGAGCATTTGCTGTAAATATCCTCAGGTGTTCCTTTTTACTGCTTAATGCAATTGCATATGGGCACCCAGGTGTCCTGGGTTATGGACCTGAGTATAAAGGACTAACAGCTCTGATCCATGGTGTTCCTCAAAACTCTCAGAGAAGCCACTAGGACGGCTGCTCCCAGCTCTGAATAAAGCCTATTAATCTTTACCCACAGCTCTGAGGACCTTTTTCCTCTTATTTAGCTTGTAGACCTGCATGTGGAGTGATTGTGACCCAGTTTGTGAGCCCTAGCCCTAGCTCTACAATTGGCATAGTCAGCAGGGTTTGGGGGCAGGTACAGGAGCCCCTTGGGAGAAGGAGGTAATGTGGCTGCTCCTGAATATTCTGTACACTCTGGCCACTATCCCACTGACTGGTGTCTGGTTGCTGCTCACTATACTGCAAGTCAGCATAGACCAGGCACTCCATGAAGCAGGGCATCCTCAAAGAACCCTTTGAGAGGAAAAGGAAATGTGGCTGTCCTTGAGTATGTGGTACCCGATGGTCACTTTTCTGCTGACCAGAGCCTGGCTACTACTCAGAGTGCTGCAAACTGATCAATATTTGAAGAAGAAAGCAGAGTTGTTGGAAGTGTGAATAATTGTCCTGGAGGATGACATGCAGTGAGTGGCCACCCCTGCTTCTCACATCAGGGCTAACGACAAACCCAGTGTTGAGTTGGGGGAGACTGTGCATCTCCAGCCATGACCTGTTGTGCACCAAAAAGTGAAGTTCAAGCACCCTATAGGACCAGGCAGCCACCCGGCACACAATCCACAGGTGACCCAGTTCACTTATTCCCACGTTGAATTATTTGACTTGCAGAGACAGTATTGGCAGAAACAGGGGAGCTCCTGGCTGCTTATCTGCTGAGGTTTTGAGACCTAGGTGTGGATGTTGTGATGTGCTCTGGTGAGAAGATGGAAAAGTTGGCCTCTATTATCAGCCACCTTCCCTGAAGCAGCAGCTACAGAACAGCTGTTGATATGCATGAGTGCCAAGTAATCACTCCTTAATGGAATAGGTGAGTGCAGCTACCTGAACCATGTGAGGGAATACTAGAGAACTCTCCAAGATTGTGAGAAAATGGCAAACACATTCTGATCTGGTTCCAATCTCAGTTGATAGCCAAGATAAGTTCACCTTCACCTGGGAAGGCACACAGTGGACCTTTCAACTATTTCCCCAAGGTTATCTGCATAGCCCAACCATTTGTCATGGTTTAGTGGCTGGGGAAGTAGCCAAAAGGACAAGGCCCAGCACAGTTACAATGTTTCACTACATTGATTATGTGTTGTTAAACTCTGATTCTCTAAAATTTAACCCAGGAAGCTCCAATGCTGCTAAGCCATTTGGAACTATGTGGGCAGGCCATGAACACAGCCAAAGTGCAAAGACCTGGACTGTCAGTCAAAGTCCTAAGAGTTGTCTGGTTGGGTAAGAGGAGGGTCATCCCAGGAGCTATTACAGATAAGATACATGTGTACCTTAAACCACAACTGTAGCTCAGCTACAGACCTATTTGAGATTCTGAGGTATTGGAGAGCTTTCGTACCTCATATGGCTCAAACGGCATGCCCAATGTATGCATTAATAAAGAAAGGAGCCCCCTGGAATTGGAGTGAGGAAGTAGAACAGGCTTTCCAGGCTACAAAGAGGGCAGTATAGCAAGTATAGGCCTTACAAATGGCTGATCCCACTAAGCCTTTTGAATTAGATGTACATATATCCTAGGAGGGGTTAGGTTGGGGTTTGTAGCAGAGACAAGACCGCTTCCAAACACCTGTATGATTCTGGTCTCAGCTCTGGAAGGGGGCTAAATTATGCTAAGCTCTGGAAGGGTGCTGAAGTACGCTATTCTCTGATAGAAAAACAGCTACCAGCTGTATATTTTGCCTTGATGGCCACTGAAGCTATCACTAGAACTGCCAAAATCCTAGTACAGACAATATATCCCATACTAGGTGGGCTGCACATGTGGGCAACGAACCGTAAAACAGGTGTAGCTCAGAATCCCACTCTGTGTGAATGGGGAGCATATATAGAACAAAGGAGCACTGTGTCAGCGAGTCCTCTGTCCAAAGAGTTGCAAACTGTGCTAGGCCGAGTAGAGGTTGTGGAGAAAACTTTGGCACAACCCCTACCCATGGAGGGAGAGGCTACACCTTTCCATGAGGGACAGGGACCTATCACAGAGCAAGCTTGGTATACAGATGGCTCTAGCATGGGATCCTTAGCACCATGGGCAGCTGTTGCTGTCCTGCCCTTAACGGATACTATGTGGTATGAAAACAGCACAGGACAAAGCAGTCAATGGGCAGAATTGAAAGCTGTTTGGATGGCAATAAAAAACGAGCCTGGGCCATTAACCATCTCTACTGACAGCTGAGCTGTGTACAAAGGTTTAACCATTTGGATATCTACTTGGAAGTATCAACAGGGGATGTTAGGCCACCGACCCCTGTGGGGACAAGCCATGTGGCAAGAGTTATGGGAATTGGGGCATGAGAAAGAAGCAACTCTTTTCCATGTCACAGGACACTTTCCCTTATCCAGTCCAGGAAATGATGAAGCTGATGCCTTGGCTAAGGTAAGATGGCTGGAGAGAGCCCCAGCTATTGATGTAGCCCTGTGGTTACATCGACGAATGCAGCATGCTGGCAGCAAAACCATGTGGATGGGAACTCAAAGATGGACCTTGCCTATAAAATGGGAAGATGTAGTGTATGCCTGTCATGCTTGTCCAGTATGTGCTCAAGAGTGTCCACACTCCCAGCGGGTGCCCCATATAGACGCACAAATAACTCAAGGAAGGGTGCCCCTGGATTGATGGCAAGTGGACTTTGTCAGACAACTGCCCAGGTCAGAGAATTTGAGATACATTTTCACTGCTGCTGATACAGCTACTGGTCTTCTGTTTGTATGGCCTTGTAAGGCCTCAGACTATGTAAACACTGTGAAGGCACTGCATAGCCTTGAGGCCCTGTATGACCTTCCTGTAGTCACAGAGTGTGACAATGAACCCACTTTACTGGACATGTGGTTCAGAGGTGGGCTTTCCAGTTGTCTATTCAGTGGAAGTTGCATGTGCCATATCATCCCCAGGCAGCAGGGATGATTGAGGAATACAATGGTCTCCTAAAACAGGAGCTAAGTCTATCTGCGCAACCCCCGACCCTGAAGGGGTGGACAAGGCAGTTACAGCCAACAGTCAGGATTCTAAATAAGAAACTCTGCAAGCACGGGCCCTCTCCAGTGGAAGATCTGTTGCATGGGGCTGCAGCACATAAACAAGAGCAGATCACTACTAAAGATGAGCTTTTGGCAAGAATGGAAATATTCTCTTACCAGCCCCAAACTGTTTACTACCGGAACAGACAGTACGATGGGAATGGCCTTGGAGAATAGAAGCCCCCCATATGTCATGGTAAAACCTGAGGGGGGGGAAATGTCCCCAGTGAATGGAAACATCTTATCTACAAATGAGGAAAGTTAGTTCACTCTGTGTTCCCTGCAGTAAGAATGTGAGAAAAGAGAGTCACAAAGAGCAAAGCAGGGATTGACCCTGGGGGACATCTGGGAGTCAGCAGAGCAGAGGAAACCTCAGATCCCAAGAGGAACCCCTCATCCCATCTCTGCACCTGCTTCATGGGGCACAGGAGCTGGGTGGGCCTTGAGCGCCCCCTGCAGCACAGACCCTTCCTGTATCCTGCGGGGCGGTTTGTGTCTGGGCTCACACTGACTTCCTGTCACTGTGTCTCTCGCACAGAAATACATGGCCGTGTCTGCATCGGTCACAGAGCTCAGCTCCAGGGAGAACTGGTTCTTGGACGTGTCTCTGGTGATGGAGATGCGGCTCTTGAGGGATGAGCTGTAAACTGTGCTTCCACTATAACTGATGCGTCCCATCCACTCAAGTTCCTTCCCTGAGAGCTGGCGGATCCAGCTCCAGTAGTAACCACTGGTTGTGATGGAGTCACCAGAGATGGTGCAGGTGAGGGAGAGGGTCTGCGAGGGCTTCACCAGTCATGGGCCCAACTCCTGCAGCTGCACCTCGGACAGGACACCTGGAGACAAGGAGAATCAGCACGTGTCAGTCATGTGCAGTCACGACCATCCCAGAGACCCGTGCCTGACATCTGACAAACTCACATTTGGAAGTTGTCACCAGGTAAAGGAGAAGATCCCACAGTTTCATCTTTAATTAGATCTCAACTCTGCCTTTCACAGAGACCTGAGCCCTGTCTGAGGACAGACCTGTGAGCTTCCATCACCGAAGCATCCACATTTACCCTAGTGCTTGAAGGAAAATTTGTATGCGGGGGAGCTGTGTTCTTATAAGTGGTTATAAACTTAGGTGAGAGACTTTGTATTTTTTAAGTGCCTGTATAGTTTCGTTTTTCTTAAAATTATTTGACATGCAATTATGGAATATGAGAGAATCTGGTGAGTTTGAAATAACCGAAATGGGTCCCCAGCTTTCTGAGCCCAGATCTACCTTCCTTCAACCCCCATCTTCTGTGCTGTCTTGGTGCAGCCCAACTCTGCTCCATAACCCCAGGCTCAGGGTTTTGCTTCCCAGCACTGATCCCAGCAGAACCCCTGCTTTCTTTCCCTGTACCCTGTCCTGTCATGTGGTTCACATCACACCTGAAAGCTTGTTACATTGTTACATTATTGCTGTCTTTGAGTTTCAAGCCTACCTTGAGCTCTGTCCACCCTTTGATTCAAGACACAGCACATGGGAACCCACAGGGACTCTGCAAATCATGGGAACCCACAGGGTCTCTGCAAAAAATGATGCCTTGTGCATTACTCAGGAAACTGATTCTAAGTATTTGGGAAAGAGCAAAAGACTTTTAAATGCCCCTGTCACAGAGTAAGTCCTGTGCATCTGTAGTGTAAGTTTTTCCTATCTACATTCAGTTCTCATCCAAATTTTATGGATGTTAATCCTTCATTTAATCCTCCAATTTCATCAGTTATCCCTGATTTTTTAAGATATCCTTTAAAAACCTTAATTATAATGGTCAACATTCAAGCAGTAAAACCATCCAGAGCATAAAACTTGGAAAAACAAACATCCCCTTGATGCTCATGTGCTGGGGTCCATGACAGCCCCTCCATGACTGCGGTCACTGCCCTCTGTACCACTGCCCAGCACAGAGAAAGAGGCCAGGGGCTGGGCTGGATGCTGGGCTGAGTCTGCCCTGGGAGCTCCCTCGCAGTCCCAAGAGCAGGTCCATGTCATGCAGGGACAGCCCTTCATGTCACATTAAAAAGAAGGGGAGGGAATAAGGAATTTCAGATGGACTATTTTTCATTTGATATGAAGACATTGAACATGGACTCTACTCTATAAACACTGCAAGTGCACAAAACAGTATTGGTAATGGGGGGGGGGCCAGTGTTGTACCACAAATCTACACAACTTCTTCATCCTGTGCAACTGAATGTGATGCCTGCTGAACTTTAATTTAATGAGCCAGGCTGTGAGTGCGTGTGTGTGGCATTTGTGCACATTCATTTTGGCATAATTAATCATATGCTCTAACTGACATCAAAAGATCAAAAATGTATGTTATGTGTTGTCTTCAGATTGAAAGAGAACGGTGGTGGGTGCACTGGAGTCTAACACACTAAGCATGTGTCACCTCTGTCTGTCTGTCTGTCTCTCTGACTCTTGCCTTTTCTCTTTCTGTACAAACACATACAGTCACACAGACACACAGTCACACAGACACACAGACATACACACACACAGACACACACACTCACCACTGATCATTTTTGAAAATCTACCTGGAGCGATGCCTCTGATTGATGCTGAGCAATTCCTTATAACAGACACAAATGTGACCTTTGCAGTCTTTTTATGAATGTTCTTCAAGAAGTCACAGTGTACAGGAAGAATCTCGCGAGGTACAAAGTGAGCAGGACCACACTGTGTGTTGTGGTGACTTAGTGCATCGCACACTGTTTCTTGTATCATAATTATCCTGCCAGACTGATGTATATGCTGGATGTTGTGTTTTGTGGATGGATCTCTTGCAAAAAAAATATTTTCAGGAAAATAATATTGAAAAATCATTAATCAGGAGTCTCATACCACTGAATAGAGAAAATATATTCATGGAAATGAAATTGTCTCAAAGTGTGAGAAATGTGAGAAAAATACTAGCAGAGAAAATTTCAAATGTGCTTTAAATAAAAGAAACAATATTAAAACAATGATTATACCAATGATAATATTTTGTAGTATTTATATATTTAATGAATCAATAAGCAAATGTAAACAAAAAATATAAGATTAAAATAAAATACAAAAAAGTGTAGCATTGGAAACCAGCAGAAGCAGGGAATGAGATGATTTTAAGCCTTGGTTTTAGAAGCAATAAAGGAATGAAAGCTCATAGCATCATGGGACTAAATTCAGGTTTCTAGTTTGTCTCCTTTGAGACACCAATGAGTGTGAGGCGGAGAGAGAAAAGGGAAAAGTGAGGAGAGATCCAAGAATAGACCCATAAGGTAAAGATGAAATGGGGAGCAGGGGTCAAGAATGATCTTACAGAGCAAATTCTAATGCAGCAAACCACGCTGTGATGTGCCTGTGGTCATGTGAGGTTTAAATAGAATGAAGGGTGAGAGGAAAAGGCAAATTGGGAGCTGTCATTACAAAAGTGCAGTTTTTAGCGATATTTGCCTTGCAAGGTTGTAAGTATTTGAATGTGAGATAGTTGGGAACACATGACCTGAAATCAACAATAAAAATACCTGCCAGAGCAATGCTGAAATAAAAACATAGACTTTTCAAGGCTTTACTGAAGTTCAATTATGCCTAAAGACAATAATCTAAACTGCAAGGCTGTGATACTTGGTCACAAATCAATCACCGTGCTGTACCTTGCTCAGGGTCTCCCTGTCAGACTTTCTAACATGGGATATTCCTAGCCCAGCCTCCATCAGGTCTGTTCCAAATGTTGAGGCTCAGAGATATTTATTTGTGGACTCTGACCACAGGGGGAACCAGGGATGGTGGTTTTGACAGACTATTCAGCCCTTTCCCTGACGTTGTCTGACTCCAGCCACCCATTGGCTCATCCACCTCAGTGCTCTGAAGCTCGTGGGGCCTTCTGCACATCCTCTGACATACGATGTGTCAGTTGTGGGATGTGTCCAGGGGTCAGCAGCTGCCCTGTCCTCACAGATAATCTGTGTTCTCAGGAAAGCTACTTTATGGCTGCTGCTGATTCAAGTTAATATTAGTTAAACATTTCTATTAATCGGCTGAACAAAATATAGACAAATTGTTTACTATCTTAAATCAGCACTTGTGGCGAAACTGTACAAAGACAGCCATGGTTGTTTTTCACCATATGCACCCAGTCAACAAGAAAAACCTTGGGATTCTCTAAAGGTGGGACATGGCCGGTAAACAAGCCTCAAGGATTGCTTGGACATCTGCAGGTAGATTTTCATCAGCTTCCATTCTTCAGAGGATGCAAATTTATTGTCTGCCTATTTTGATAATGATCTCAAATAATTCATTGGCAAAAATGTTACTCTTTCAGTTGATAAAAAGCTGATTTATTTTGTGTTTCCATCCTGACTTATGAAAACATTTATATAAAGTGAGCTTGTCCAAATTCTTAACACAAGAGCACACACATATATACACGTAGAAAGTTTTACCTTGGAGTGGTACATGTCAAATGGATACTTTGCAAACAAACTGGTGATGACATTTGTCACAGAAATGAAAAAAAAAATACAAAAACCAAACAAATAAAAATACTATCCTCAGAGTCATATGGAAAAACAAAAGACACTAAATAGCCAAAGTAATCCATAGCAACAAAAAATATAAAATAAAATAAAGCTGGAGGTATCATACTATCATATAAACACACACAGAACAACAGAACAGAACAGAGAATCAATAACTCCATCCACATACCTAAAGTCAACTGACCTTTCAAAAAGGCACTCAGAACATACATTGGGGAAATTCCAGTTTCCTAAAGAAATGGTTCTGTGAAAATTGGACATCCATGTGCAGAAGAATCAAACTAGATCTGCACCTCTCACCATATACCTAAATAAACTCAAAATGGATTAGACACTTAAATATACTACCCCGAACTATAAAAATACTAAAAGAGAGCATAGGGAAACACATAAGGATGTTGTACTTGGCAAATATTAAATGACAAACTTTCATGGTGTCTAGACTTACCAAATTTTTGGCTTAACACTGTGTTTGGCAAAGGATTAAATGTATATTGACTTAAAATATTTTCAACATACAATGGGTTTATTGAGACGCGACTCCATGATAAGTTGAGGAACATCTGTACATGAAACTCAGGTGTGACAAGGGGAAATTTAGTGAAGATGTATGTAATGACTTTGGGGTAATTAAACACAAAATATGTCAATGTAGTTAATGTGGACCTTGACATCAGTCTCTAGTGATCTCATACGACTAAGAAGACCAACTTTATTGGTGCATTTTTATTGTTCACATTAGGGACTTCTGTCCATGTGGACACGTGACATAGTTCCACTCATGGAGGCAGGAGAGATGGTCTGCTGGGGCTTTCCTGATTCTTCAGGAGGGCATTTCAGAAGAATCATCTCCTTTCTTGCATAAAAGAAGGTATCTTCATATCTCTGTGTGACTCTTTGGAAAGTCATTCATGTCCACAAATCATAAATGTGAACTGTAACATGAAGCTAAAATGCCAGGTGAATTAGTGTCCAAATCTAGGAAAGTCAATAATCTGGATTCAAGGGCTGTTGAAGTACCCAAGCCCGGATCCATTCACATCTGGGCGTCTTGTTTCAATAGTTTGTGATTTGTGTCATTTTTTAGTCCGTTCCAGTCACCTCTCTTTGCTTTCTGCTTA